AACTAGTACTCAAACAGTATTTTTCACTTTATGTTTCTGTGTGGGAGCAAACTGTTGAAATCTTTACTTAATGTATGCTAAACTGATCTTCTGTATATAAAGAGAATCGAAAATGAATCTTGATGTGAATGGAAGGGGAGAGGGAGTGGATAAGGGGAGGGTTGCGGGTGGGAGGGACGTTATGGGGGGGAAGCCATTGTAATCCATATTCTGTACTTTGGAAATTTATATTCATTAAATAAAAGTTAAAAAAAAACACATTTTCAGTCGTTCTATCCTGTCAAATGAAATCTTGTAACCTTATCTGGAATCTCTCATATCACTATCTTCCTTGTACCTCTCATACCTTTGTAACAAAAGGTACCCTGTTTCTCATCTCTGATACTTAAAGAAATGCCTCTTTTTTTGCAGATAATAAAGAGCTTTTCCTTTCCAAAGCGATTCACAAGTCCTTCATAGAAGTTAACGAAGAAGGCTCAGAGGCTGCTGCCGCCTCAGGTATTCAGAAAGTTATTTGCTAAACTCTTCTCACCTTTTCTAGATTTGTGTTTTTAAAGCCATCTGGGATCAGGGAGGGTGATTCTCAGAACCAAGTCACAACAACACAGACTCTGCTCTAACTTGGGAGTAACCAGCGCTGAGCCAGCCTGAATTTTCTAACTAGACTGTGAAGTGCGTCCTCACTCCAGTGCCCCTTTGCGGAGTAACTCCCATGGTCGTGTTCTCCCTAATGAGAGACTGGATGCGTTGGCAGCAGTGGGAGAATAGATTTTCCTGCTGTGTTGCCTGTTTAAATATTTTAAATATTTCCCTGCTGCCCACTTAAGGATTTTTCTTTCTACTTAATTGCTTGCGGAAGTTGGTTTTTAATTTTGTCAGTGAACACTTTTGACTTTTTAAAAGCACATACATAAGTGAGAGTTTGTAACAGTGTCTAAGTAATGTTAAATGATTTTAATGAAGTGATAAGTTTAAGTAAATAACCGTTCAATTTGACAGCAATCACATGTTCAAAATACAGTGATGAATGTCCTTCCTCATTTGAGAATTCTGACCTCCCTAGTTAGCTGGCAGTGGTTTTTCCATGACTTTTCTCCTACCTGTCTTTCTTGGGGTCAGGTGGATTTATGTCAATCTCAGGTTCAACAGATTTCATCAGATTTCTGTAGGATCCTTCACCCAAACCCTCCGGTAAAATGCTACTATATTATATGCGCACATGTTTTTTCTACCTTATTGTTCACAACAGTTATTTTCAAGAAATAGAAACAGTCATCAGAATCTGGAAAGCTTAAAATCTTGAATAATTTAATACTGACATTTTTCTGGTAACTGCACTGCAGCAAGTATACAACAACAATCATCCTGGAATGAGGATCACAGGGAAATTCAGCCTCCCAGCCGTGGGAAACACTGCAATCTCAGTGCTGACTTCCCCTTTAATCACTGCACCCTGACTGCTCAGCTGCAAGCCTGGAGACTTGCTATGGAAAAATACGCATCTCAGACAAAATAAGTCATAACTTGAAAATGTGAATTTTCTTTTTTTTTTTTTTTTTTTTTGACAGGCAGAGTGGACAGTGAGAGAGAGAGACAGAGAGAAAGGTCTTCCTTTTGCCGTTGGTTCACCCTCCAATGGCCACCGCGGCCAGCGCACTGCAGCCGGCACACCACGCTGATCCGATGGCAGGAGCCAGGTGCTTCTCCTGGTCTCCCATGGGGTGCAGGGCCCAAGTACTTGGGCCATCCTCCACTGCACTCCCTGGCCACAGCAGAGAGCTGGCCTGGAAGAGGGGCAACCGGGACAGAATCCGGCTCCCCGACCGGGACTAGAACCCGGTGTGCCAGCTCCACAAGGTGGAGGATTAGCCTAGTGAGCCATGGCACTGGCTGTGAATTTTCTTACCTTCATTGTTTTTGTTGTTTTGGAATCATTTTTTCTTTTGTCTTCCCCTTCCCTTAACTCAAAGGACATTTTCATAAAAAGCACCAGTTTTTATCTGAGACAGAATAAAACTTTCCTAACAGCCAGAATAAATTGTCCTATTATTTTTGGTGGAATGGAAGAAGAAATTGTGTACAGTATGTGTTACTTTAGTTTTGTTTTTTAAAAAGATAAAGTAAAAATGTTAGTGCTTTTACAAGTTTCCTTTAAGTCTGTGAAATTGTGTTGTCTGTAAATTGTTGCCTTTGTATTAAAAGGGTAGCCATAGCTGATTCTGAGAAGTTACTCGTTAGTCTCTGCACAGCCATAGACATGTAATTACTTTCTCTCTGCACTGCAGGAATGATTGCAATTAGTAGGATGGCTGTGCTGTATCCTCAAGTTATCGTGGACCACCCATTTTTCTTTCTTATCAGGAACAAGAGAGCTGGTGAGTCTATTGTGAGAACAGAACTTTCTTTAATAAACCAGAAAGAAATTTTCTTTCTTAAGTGGAGGGTTTTTTTTCACTGTGTTTATCAGATCACATTTGACATTCAAATGCTTTTGTAAAAAATATTTTATTTATTATTTTTGAGATAACGTACTTTTTAATTTACATTATAGTCAAAGGTTTAATGGCTCTGCTAAATAAAGAGTTCAGCAAATCAAAAGAAGAAAGGTTATAGCCCAGCAGGAAAATACAGCAGGGCTATAACCAACAATCAAATGAAAAGATGCTCAACTTCACTCACATAAAGAAATTTTAAAAGTCACAAAAATCGTTGAAACTCTAGTAGTATATAATTTCTATCAGTTTGTTTAACAAAGAGTTAAAGCAAGTTTTATAAAACACTCTATTTACAGCAAAACTGGCAGGCATTTCTCTCTCTTTTTTAAGTTTTCTGTTGTTTTTAATTTTATCTCCTACATACAAAGGAGAACATGCAGTATTTGTTTTTCTGTGTCTGGTTTATTTCACTCAACATGATGTCCTCCAGTTCTAACCATTTTGCTGCAAAAAAAAAAAAATAGAATTTCAGTCTTTTGTTTATAGTTGAATAGCAGTCCAATTTTTTTATTCATTCATCTGATGTATAAACCTGCCATATGACCCAGCAATCCCACTACTGGATAAATACCCAAAAGGCATGAACTCATTGTATCAGAGACGTACCTGCTGCACCATGGTTTTTTTTTTGTTTGTTTTTTTTTTGTTTTTTTTTTTTTGTTTTTTTTTTAAGATTTGTTTATTTATTTGAAAGTCAGAATTACACAGAGAAGGAGAGGCAGAGAGAGAGAGGTCTTCCATCCAATGGTTCACTCCCCAGTTGGCCACAACCGCCAGAGCTCTGCCAATCCAAAGCCAGAAGCCAGGAGCTTCTTCTGGGTCTCCCACACGGTGCAGGAGCCCAAGGACTTGGGCCATCTTCTACTGCTTTCCTAGGCCATAGCAGAGCTGGATTGGAAGTGGAGAAGCCAGGACTCGAACCGGCACCTTTATGGGATGCCAGCATTGCAAATAGTGGCTTTACCTGCTACACCACAGTGCTGGCACCTGCACCATGTTTATAGCACCACTGTTCACAATAACTAAAATGTGGAACCAACCAAGTGTACATCATTAGATGAAAGTTCAACTGCTTTTTGAAAAAAAATTGCATTGTATAAATCATGTATATTGATTAAAATAACTTGCAGTTTTATTTTTACAACATTGGTCATACTCAGCAAGAAGGAAAATAAATACTCCTTTCTTTTGTTCACTTCTAAACCAATGCAGGCACAATTCTGTTCATGGGACGAGTGATGCATCCTGAAACAATGAACACAAGTGGACATGACTTTGAGGAACTTTAAATTACTTCATTTGAATAGCAAGGAAAACAGTAACTAAGCACATCCTGTTTGCAATTGGTATATATTTAGCATTTGTGTTTTGCAGTATATCTTATGGTAGTATTTAAAGTAGCTCCAGATTAAAAAAAATACATGTAAATTATAAGTTAACTTCTCAAGGAACGTGGTCAGTATTATGGTAATGGTCCTGTTATGTCATTGTATTTGTTGTGCTGTTGCTTAAAAATAAAACTACATATTGAACATGTGAACAGCTGTGTTTTTCATTTTAGAAGTTATTACAGAAAGAAACATCTAGCTTAAATTTAAAAACATAATTTCTTTTCGAAATCCAGATACCATCTAGATACAACTTGGAGAAATTTGGAAACAATGATGTTTCTGAACATCTTAAATCTTCCATAGTGATGCAGAAACAAAGCACCAAAGTAAGTTAACATAAACTTGAATCTGACAAGTAAAGATAAGTAATCCACACAAATTCCAGTTTTTTTTTTCAAATCTGCATATATTATGGTGCAAAGGAATGCAAAATGGACATCTTTTGTATGGCTATGTGACAAACACTGTTAGAAAAAAGCATGATGTTATGTAAACTCCATAGGTGATATCTGTGGGTGACTTTTCCGAGCTTTTAAAAAGCCCCTTGGTTTCTGGTTTCATATGCCTGATGGAGTTACAAGCCTGGGAATCACCATGGTTTGCTGCTGCAAATAAAATTTAAACTGCAGTTTCTTCCCAAAGTCCCAAAATGAACCATATAAGCAAATTAGTAGAAGTAGGTACTTGAGTATGTGACTGGAGAATTAGCAAGAAAAACTGTCCAGTACAGATCATGGAGAGTAGCCAAAAACAGGGCTGAACTCTGGTCACAGAGATGATTTGGTTGCTCTGCATGTGGTCTTTACAATTTGAACTTGAGTGTTTGTAACTAGGCTGTCACATTCCTTGCTTTTCCCATTGGTTGCCTGGGTGATTCGTGGATGCATTTGAGATTCCTGGAAAGCTGTAGCGTTCTTTTTTTCTTGTACAAGAAGTTGGCTATCCCACTTGGAGGCAGTGTCACAGGCAAGGACTCCAGTAAATTACTTTGTTATCTTTTGGCAAAAGTAGTGGTATTTCTTGGGAAAACAGATCCATTTAAGCCAAATCTTCTTCCTTTTTTTAAAGATTTATTTTATTTGTTTGAAAGGCAGAGTTACAGAGAGAGAGAGAGAGAGAGAGAGAGAATATCTTCCATCCTCTGGTTCACTCCCAAAATGGCTGTAAACGGCCAGTGTGGGCCAAGGTAAAGCCAGGAACCAAGAACTTCATCCATGTTTTCTCCCACATGGGTGCAGGGGCCCAAGCACTTGGGTCATCCTCTGCTGCATTCCCAGGCACATTAGCAGGGAGCTGGATTGGAAGCGGAGCAGCCAGGACTCCAATAGGTACCCATATGAGATGCTGGCATTGCAGGTGGCTTAACAGGCTACACCACAGCACCAGCCCACAAATTTTTATTTCTATGATTAACAGTCTTGGAAAATTTTTGAAACATTTAAAATTAAAAAAAAAATAGTTTTGCATGTTACTTTCTTATGCATTAGATATTTCACTATGATTTGGAGCTATTAATAAGAATTGACATGATCATTAACTTTGATTTAGTTCAAAAGAGTTCAGAGAAACAAGATTTGACCCTTGATCTACAAATTCTAAACTGTGAGGATAAACTTGAAAGCTGGCATTTTTTCCCACAAGCTCTGTTGTACACTACATCTGGAATACTGCTATAGTAAAGGAAACATGTAGAATAATTATTTAAATTGTACAAGTATTTAGATATGGTTAGTTTCTAGAAAATTAGATCATTCAATAAAACATATTAAATTAGTGCTTCTCAAACTTCAGTGTGTAATGGAACCGTTTAGGAGTCATGAAAAATACAGATTCCAATTCAGTAGCTCTGTTTGCTCTTCTTTACCTTCTCTTTTTTCCTGCATGGAATTTCAAAAGCAGTTTGCCAAGCTGCTCCTCCCACTGCTATTTGCAGCTCCATGGACCCACAATTTCCTGTCTAACCTGGTCCACTGGGGGCTGGTACCAGCCTTCCTGGTCCGTGTCTCCACCACACCTCTACCACTTTCCTTTCTTATTTGCTCTTTCAGTGTGAACCTGCCAGGTTCTGTTGGTCTCCTGGGCTTCCCATCGCAAATTTCTAAGGCTCTATCTCCAGTGTGTATCTTCTCTCCTTTTTAACTATCTATATTGCCCTGTGTGACTTGGACCATCCTGTTGCTATACTGCCATCTTGGGCTGATATCCAAATATACTTTTTTTTCTTTACATAATGTGGACAAATGAAATAATCTGTCTGCATATTAGAGCAGTTGAAATATATTCTTTGAAAATATGGAGACATTATGGGCAATACCAACAAGCGACTTTATGAAACATAACAACACACTAGCTAACACTGAATTTTTTATAGCTTATATTTTCAGAACATTTACACTTCATTTATAAACTTATGTTATTGTAAAACAACGTTCTTGTTTTCACTTATAATATGTGCAGGTTGGGTTAACTGATCTTTATTCAGTGTTGATATTCTAAGTTTCTGATATCATCCCTTACCATATTACTACTTGTGAAGTATTACATCTGTTGCTATGTCTATATCAATCAATTAAATGAGTTACCTCTCATGAACAGAAAATTTACCTCTCACAGAGAGATTATCATTAGATAAATGTGGATTTTTATCAACTCCAAATACAATTTTTGTTAGCTTCTGTAAGGTTATATTGTACATTCAGAATGTTTACTTTAAAATATTTCACCACAATTTATATATGCTTTATCTGAAAATGGATTATCTCTTGTTTTTAATATTCTTGTGAAATGCTAAAATATAAGAATACTTTAGAGTCAATTTTTTTCTTTTTGTTTGATTTTTTTTACAGTTTACTCTTGAAAAATTAACATTGTGTGGTTCAATTCCATTTTCCTTAAAACTTGGTTTATGATCCAGCAATCCCAATCACATGCATTATTATACAGACAAGGAAACAAAGCTTCCATACAGGTTCACACAAAAACTATGTGTGAATGTTTACAGCGGTATTATTTGTAGTTACGAGCAATTAGAAATAACACAAATATCAATAAGTGAGTAGACAAAGTGTGGTATATCCACACAATGCATTGCTACATAGCCATAAAAAGGAAGGAACTACTGATACACATAACTTAGATGAATCTCAAAGGCCTTTCTGCTGAATAAAATAATGTCTTGAAAGTTTATATTCTGCATCATTGTGTTCATACGACGTTCTGGACAAGATAAAACCCTTGCAATGGACATCAGATGAGTGATTGCCAGAGGCTGAATGTCAGGAGTGGGTGTCACTTCACTGAGACATCACAAGAGAGGTTTGGTGGACAAGGAACTTTTGTATGTTAATCATGATGAAGGTTACATTAATCTATACATTATAAAACTCAGAGCTATACACCAAAAAGGGTGAATTTTTATGTATTTAAATTTTTTAAACCATGCAATCCAAATGATTTTAGAAGCAGTACATTTTGTTTAAAAACTTAGTGTCATCATTTATTCTTATTTATAAAGAGAAGAACTACCAAGCTATCAACACATTATGAGAAATTTCAGTGTTACAAAGGCTGACACCAAATTTTAATGATTTCTCTTCATTTACAAGCACAATTTACTGGCCTTCATGGTTTCTTTCCTGTGTCATAATACATAGGTGTAATGCAAAATGTGATTCCTGTTAAGTAGAACTGATTTTTGGAAAAGTGAGCACTTCTGATTTCTTAGTTGGCCTATAGTCTACTGGAGTTTCCTTTAATGGCCAATTCCCATAAAGGACTCACCGCAGAAAGGAGTCATTTATATGAATCTTATCAGCTAGTCAGGCTGAGTGGGGAAGTCATTTTAAAAATAATTCTTCCTTGGCAAAGACAGCACTGTATTCATTCATTCACATGTAAATTAGACATTTGGTAGGTAAAGTGCCTGTGAATCTGCTATGTGTATCAAATAGCATGATACGGTTAAAGAAACGATTACTTCATCCCATTTGAATTCCTTAATTACATATCCTATTGGGTTATGCATCTAATTTATCCAAACCTCAGTTTACACATTTTAAAAACAGCAGTAATATTTCTTGCTCAATTTTAAAGACTGTGGAGTTTGAATAAGAAACTCAGCAGGAAAGCACTTTGCAGAGCATAGTGTCTGTGTGGATGAGTTTGATGTTACAGTCAAATTTCTTCCTTTTTTTCTCTGAAGGGCTTTGGGAGGGAAATGCCATAAAGCATCCTGGGGGAGAGCTAAACTGCTCCTCAGTAAATAATGATGGATGTGGAAGGACTTTGCTCATCTGTTTTCATACTGAAGAGAAAAATCTCCAATACAGAGACTAAACCTTTAAAGCAAATGTTAAAAAGAAGAGAAAAAAAAAACCTGGTATTTGTTTTGTCAACTTTGTTTTGCACTCCTCTGCTCCCTTTTCTTAACTTCTTTGAGAATATTTGAATTTTTTCCCTAATTCTATTTCAACTTACCTACTCATTTTTCATTATTTCTCTTTGAATGTTTTAGTGCTTGTTCCAGAGATTATAACTATATTTTCACATTTAGTATTAATATCAATATTTCCCTTATCATTAGTATTTTGCTGCTTTGTGTGGAATGTGGAACTCTTCCAACCATGTAATTACCTTATCATACTTATATTGTAGTTGTCTTATAGCACATGTGCATACAATGAAGAAATCCCATCAAATAATAATTTTTGCTTTCAATATTTATGCATATTAACAAAAACTCAAGAGCAGTAACATAGCCTACTGTTTATCCAAATATTCGCTTTTTTAAAAAAGATTTATTTATTTATTTATTTGAAACACAGAGTTACAGAGGGAGAAGGAAAGAGATAGGGGGGTTGGAGAGAGAGAGATCTTCCATCCGCTGGTTCACTCCCCAGATGACCACAGTGGCCAGGGCTGGGCCAGGCTGGAGCCAGGAGCCAAGAGTTTTATCTGGGTCTCCCACAGAGAGTGGGTGGGTGCAGAGACACACGTACTTGGGCCACCTGCTGCTTTCCCAGGCACATTAGCAGGGAGCTGGAATGGAAGAGGCACAGCCAGGACACAAACCGAAGGCACCCAGATGGGATGTCGGTGTCGCCGTGTCTGCACTGTAACTCACTACGCCACGATGGATTCTGTCCCGGTG